AGCCACCTTGCCTTTTGGACTCCACAAACTTACATGTCCAGGAATCCCTATGACCCAAATAAATACACATGTCCCAGATCATGGGACCACATGTCCCAGATCCCCCCACCAAGCAGGTTTCAGGGAGATACCCAGAACCTTACTCAGGGAGAGAGAAAAGGTCGGTGAACATCATGGGAAATGACATACAGTACAATTCTACTAACTAAAATGATCTGGATTTCCTTAGGGGTGGGAGTCAAATAACACTCATTCATTCCAATCTCCTCAGCATATCATTTTCAGGGTCATGATTTCAGACCATAAGTCTTTTTAATTTAACCAAACCCTTCAGTGGTTCTCCAACCAAAATCTTTCTTTTAATCAGTCCCTGTCTACAGCTGGAAAGAATCAGGAGCTGGGTTAGCACGACCTCTAGTGATTGATTCATTGATTAATTGATTGATTGATTGACAGCTCAGCCAGGCTGGGGGTCTATGGGCAGGCCACTGTCTCACCAGAAGCAAGGCCAGACCCATCCTCTACTACACATGCACCAGCACTGCTTTGAGACACTCAACTTATCCAGTCTCTGACAACCATCCCATATCTCAAGACAATAGACCAGAAGCACTGCACTGGGACCTTGCCTCTCCTGCTCCAATCTAGTAGATAGAGAAGAAAGAAAAGAAGAGGAAAACATGCTGAAATTCCTGTAAGGGGCAGCTGTTATTCATGAATCTAGATAATATGCCTTTACAAAGTTCATTCCCCCCAGTACCTCTTGGGTCCAAAAACTGCAGGATAATCAGGCTCCAGAGAGGTCTAGGTTTGGAAAGACAGGTATCTGCTAAGGAAGGCAGATACTTCCCCTGAAATGGAAAAATTCCCCTCCCCTCCAAATTATTATAATATTGAAATTAAGGCGCTCTCAGGCAAAGATATGGGAATAGGAATAACAGTTCTCTACTAGGAAAATTAAAATAAAAATATAGTAGTACAAAACAAAACAAACCCCACTGACAGAGTCAGAATACAACCTGACATGCTGTTGGTCAGGCTTTTGGTAACAGTTTGATTAAATGGTGGCTGCAGTGCTCCTGCAGTGATAGATGTGATTCTATTGAAGCAGTGATCATGTAGATCACTACAGGGTGTAGTTTTCCTCTAAAGGTCCAGTAGTGGTGTAGATATGTTCAGTCTTCCTCTGGGAATCCAGTGGAGAAAGGTTTACTGTGATGTTCCAAGTCTCAGATTGTATCCAGGTAGGAATTCTTGGCTCCTCCCCCTGGGTGGAGCATCTGACAATGGGATGATGGAATTTTATCAGCCCTGCAGTGAGACTCAATGGCCCATTAACAGAAGATATCCCCCTGGAGGGAGGATGGGTCCTGGAAGAGGTAAAGAACACTGCCCCACCTGGTTTTAACAGATATACATAATTAATATATACTTCTGATTACAGCTTGCATTGCAACCCAAGATGGGGGGGAAATTCATGCAGCAATCTTTCAGCACCCAAGGAGTCAAGCAGATCATCCATGATTTCCAGTGCGTTCTTGGAGGCGACACTTCCCTTCTGTGAAGTTTAGCATTATTTAATATTAGTTACACAACTATTTTTTGATACTTGAACTTGTAAGCTAGGGGTGGTTCTGGGAGGTTTCATTTGTCTTGAGCCTGATCTTTAAATTTTGGAATGAATTACACTAGTCTGGGAGAAGGCTGACAAGGTATCAGCTCCTTCTTGGGCACTGTTAAGAGGCCACCACTTCCCACATACTCCCAGTACTTTTATCATATATTGGAGCAGGGAGAGGGACCTGTTTCCCCCCTTAACAAGTTTAAACTTTTCATGCAACAGCATGAAACAGTATGCTTTAGAGACTAGAGTCCTTTACCTTTCTCTTCAGAAAAGTTTATTTCATTTCCCCAGTAAAATTTTAAAAAAGTACCTGTCCTTGTAACTTAACTAATTCTGTTGCAGGGTGTGGTATTATCACCTTCACCTCTGTGGTTTGATATGCTAATTCCTTAATAAAAGGGCAGGGCTAAGTGTGAGTCCAAGGGCACATAATGATTATAAAACCAATAACAATAAATCAACCACATGCTAAAAAAATTCCTATGTGCTGTTTGAATGAAAATGGCTTGGAGAGTGGCTATGCACACCTAAAATGCTACTCTGCATAGAAGCTTTGACCACCCCAAGCTGGTCAGTAACCGGTCAAGCTTCACACGGCACCTCAGAGTGAGAGACACTGTCTGAGTAATAATGGCAAAGTGACAATGCTTCATAGCAGAAGGCAGTAATGGTGTCCCTTCACATCTGTAATATTTGCTTCCAATGCCATCCATGACTCATCCTGGTGGCAATGTGGTTGTTCAAACCCAAACTGAGGTCCTGAAGCCAGGGAAATCACAGAAGTTGCATCAGAAAGGACACCCAGGTATGTGCAGTCTCAGAGTTGCTGCACTGTACTAGAAGGAGAGGCAGGCAGGCTGCACAGGACTCAGGAGCTGCAGCACAAAACAACAAAATGGGAGCAAGTTAGCACCAAGAGGTAGCAATCATCAGCTCTTGTAGCTGGCTGGATAATCAGAGGTAACTCTTTATCTGGAAGAACTTAGTAAATATTTGATTTTGAAGCACTGTTGACTCCCTGAGCGTGGCGGTCTTGGGAAGTGTTGCATGTGCTTTTTGCCATGGGTTCTGGATTTGTAAACATCTGTAAATAACTGAAGGCACAAACCTGAGTCACCACTTAGCCACATTACAAATTTTAGATTTAACATTTTAATTTAGGAAACCCACAGGGTTATTGTGGATTTTATGCAGTGTAAATGCTTCTTTTACTATGTACTTGCCTGGGAACAGAAGTTGTCAACACAAAAAAGCTAGAAAGCCGTGTTTAATTTTTGTTCCTCCTATTCTTGTAATTCTCTTTTTTGTTTATAAAGTCTTCCACTAATGTATTTTATTTGGAAGCTTAATAACTGAGACAGCACAGTGGGAAAAAGTCTTTAACTAGAGGCTTCTGAGAGGCAGAACAAAGTAGCAGAAGGATGAATATCAGTCTTTCTCGACTGGAAGCAAATAAAACCCTGGTGACAGTCTCTGCCACTGCTCTGCCACTCGTGGAAGCAAGAATAGTCCTTAAAAAAGTACATGTTTTTGTTGAAAATGTAAAAGGCAAAATACTGAGCATAGTGCATAATATGTCAGTGATTCACCTTCTTCTTTCATGTATGTATTCTTTTTTCCATACTGCTGCTCTTCTCACTTTCCCCCCACCCAATACTCCTTAGGCTTTGAACCCTCTTTTACTCAAACTGACAAATTCCTACAAAGAAGAAGCCTTTATCCAGGACTATTTTACTAACCACAAGGAAAACTAAATCTAGGTACCTGAATTAAAACATAGCATTGATTTCTGTATAAAATGAAAAACTGGACTTTTCCTTTATGTTTTTGCTGCTGCAAATCACGGGTGCACCTGGAATACAGCCAGGTGAAATACAGGTTGCAAGGGACACCTGGAGGTGAGCTCATCCCAACACCTGCTCAGAACAGGTTCAGGTATGTCACATTGCTCAGTGCCTTGTTCCTGTCAAATTTGGAATGTCCCCAAGGATGAAAATCACACATCCTCTCTGGAGCCCTGTCCCAGAGCCCTTCTCCCTCATCGTTGGAGAAGTAATTTCTCCGGGTATCTAACCCTAACTCCTCTTGTTACAATTTGTGTCCTTGCATTTTGTCCTTCACCTGCTGCTCCTCCAGGATGACTCTGTGTCCATTTTCCCTCAGCTTTTCTCTGGTTAACTGTAGGCAGCAATGCCATCCCACCCTTTACTCTTTCCTCTCCAGGATGAAGATGCTTCTTTGCCTTCCTCATACACCACATGGCCCAGTCCCCCAGCAGCTTGGTGGCCCTGCACCTCCAAGGCTGGGTCCAGCCCTGTGGGTCCCCTACCAGCAAGGCCAGAAGTGGCCGTGGCAATCCACATGTAATAAATGGAATTGATTCATGCTAACTAAATTGTAACTACTTGAAAAGTTGTTATTATTAGAAGCAATCAAAAAAATCAGTGTTACAAGGCAGATGTAGCCCTTTACAGATGTTACATGTTAAAATTGAGGTACAGGATGTAGTTTGGAAGATAGGTGGTGTCTCAAGACTAAAACAGCCTTGAGATGGACAAAATTCGAACAACTTTAGGCATTGGGCCTAAAAACCAGTAAATATAAGACTAATTAGTAGACTTACATAACACAACGCTTAGTACGCACACGCAAACCTGAAAGGTTATCCAGAGGACAACGAGGAAGAGGAGAAGCCTTAGCCAAAAGACCACCAAAAGAAGACTGGAGACCCCCTAACAACAAGTGAAGGGTGTGCCGTGAAGAATAGCGATGTAAAGTCAGAAAAATCGGAAATAGGAGGAAACTTACGGGAAACCTTAATGAATATGTATAAGCATACAGTATATAAGTTTAGCTTGAAGTGCTTTGTTTTGTACGTGAGGCAGGGGGGGGAACCCCCTCTGTACCCCAGTCTTTTTTGTATGTGAGGTGGGATGATAAGCCCCCTCTGTACCCCGGCTGGTTTTGCTTATGCTTTAATCATACTTAATTACTGGCAGATTATATATATAAATTGTAATTTTTTGCTAAATTATATTCTTTTACTAAACTGTATTCTTTTATACCAAATTACTATACAATTTATTAAGTTGTATTTATTTTTAATTAAACTGCCATTAACCCAAGGCACCTAGTTGTCAAAATTCTAATTTCATTTATAACACAGGTGTGGTCCCAGGAGCGCTGGAGAGAGGGAAGGATCCCCTCCCTCGGGCTGCAGCTGCCGCTGCAGGGCTCCGCACGGGCTGTATGAGGATGTTTTCCTAGGGACGCGGTGCTGCCGCAGCCCGAGGGTCGGAGGGCAGGCTCTGCAGGGCCGCTTTCCGTGCGTGTGGCACCCCGTCCGTGCTGGAGCACAGCGCTGGACTTTGCCGAGCTCAGGCAATAGGTGGCACTGATGGACGATGTCGTTTGCGCTGTCCCCGAGAAAACGTCACTGCGGAAGGGAAAGAGGCGGAGGAGAAGCCGGGATCGTGTCCTCACTCGCAGAGCGGCCGGGCGAGGACGAGCAGACAGACATGTGGCGGGAGATCCTTCCGAACGCACGGTGAGACCTCCTCGGCAAGGGGAGGAGGCGCTCCGGACTGGGCTCGGGGGGATGGCAGAAAGCCCCGGGAGGGTCCCAGGGTCATCGGAGAGAGAGGGAGCAGGCAGCTGAGTTCCCCTGAGCATGAGTGCGGAGGAGGTGTTGAAGGGCTACGCCTTGTTTTGTGTCGCTCAGAGAGCTGCTTGTGGTACAGCTTTGTGAGCAGCGCGGGGTTTGTGCCGCTGCCGTGATCCAGCTTTCACAGCTGTGCTCACCGACCTCCAGGATGTAAGTGCAGGGGAATGTTCCTACCTGTTGCATAAGCTGTTTGTTCTTAGGAGCCCTGTTCTTCCATGCCTGGAAGTCATTTAAGGAAATGAAATCACGCGTAGGCTGTCTCAGCAAGTGTTACCGAATTGCCTTGGAGGCTACTGGGATATCCCATTCAGGCTCCAGGTTCTGCACTTCAGACAGCAGAGGGAAACAATTCTAGGTGATAGCAAACACCCAGTGGACTTGGTTTTTCATGGATTAGCAAATTTTTTTCTTTTTTTCTGGCATTTGTATTGCTTTGTTTTCTCAAACTAATTGTTTGAAACAATTGTTGCACCCAAGAGCTCCCTCCTGTAGCTGCGTTCCACAAGGCAGAGTAACACGGCTTGCTTCTGTTGCCAGGTTTCAGATTGTGCTTTTGTACCAGAAAAAGGTTTAAAGGGAACCGAGGAGGATACTATCTTTTTCTAGCAAGCAGGGGAGAACTAGGGGCTTGATATCCAGTCAGGAGTAGCTAGAAGTGTCAAAGGTACAGCAGCTCATTAAACTCTGAGCAGGGAAGGGTCCCACAAGCTTCTGCTGGTGCCAGCCCGGCAGCACGACCAGCACCATGTGGCAGGCAGCAGAGTAGCCCTGGAGTTCAGAATTGCCCTGCTGAGGCTGTGCACCTATTGCAACACAGCAGTCACAGTAAACGATTTTTTTGGCTGAAGTTACAGCCAAATAAAGATTTTTTTTTTCTTTTCTTTCTTTTTTTTTTTTTTTGGCTGAAGCTGCTCACATGGTGAAACACTGCAAGGACACCTATGCAGTTGTTTACTGCCTTTTATCTAAATTGTGCTGAAGGAGGGAATATTATGGAAACAAATTGTCTAGCACAAAACACTGTCTCTTTGTACCGAGGCAGTGCTTTGTGAACCCTTCTCTGCCCATCCTATCCAAAGAGTAGGAAAAATAATGGCAGATGTTGCCAGGTGGCTAAACAGCTTGTGATCACATCCCTGGGCAATGAGTGGTGCTGGCAGGGCACATTCTTTGCACCATCCGCAAGGGTTGGAATGGAACAACACTAGCAGACTGTAAGGATCTTTCTGTTTTTTCCCCTTTTGTAGGGAGAGCATCTTGTCCCAGATCAGGTGAGTGGAAGAGCTGTTCTGTGCTGCGGTCTCCTCTTTTGGTTAGTGCCCTGATTCCCCGGTCATAGCATCATCCCTTCTGTACTCTGGATGACAACAGCAACAAAATCTCCTCTCGCAGGCCCCTTGCAACCCCCTGCAGGAGCCCCAGGCACCTCCTACTAATTCCTAAGGGAAGCTAGAGAGCTTGAAACACAAGTAAGAAGCATGGGAATGTACACTACATTTAGGGCTGCATGTCTGTCAACTCCAGTTCTGGTAACTTAGTTCCCACACCTCAAGTCTGGGACCTTGCTGTTTAGAACAGAAGCAGGGGCACGAGCAGACACTCCTTGCTTGACAGCTATGGGGGAGAGCCAGGATTGCTGTAAGAGATGATTGAATCTGTAGGGGAGCTATGTACAAAGTACTGGCAAGAGGAGCGTGTCCTGCACATCCAGCATGTCTGGCTCTCTTCAGCAGCTGAAGATTTTTGTCTCTCCTCCTGCTACTCATCCCACTCTGCCCATGCAGCTTTTATTCCTGGACAAGTCCAGCTGCTCCTGTCATATTCACTGCAGTACCTGCCTCAAAGTAGATTGACCCTTATCCCCTATGTTGAACTTTGTCCCCCTGGGCATCCTAGTTCACAAGGAAAGGGACAAGGAAGACTTATGATCAGCAAGTCCTGATCAGCAAGGACTTGAGACCACTAAGGAGCCTTGTTAGATAGAACTGTGCCCCAAATCTTACCTGTGATCTTCAAAACTAAAAGAAATGCCCAGTCCCTGGTGACTGCCTGTGATTTGTGGGCATTTGTCCCTGCTTTGTCCCAATGGATGTGCAAACAAGTCTCAGCATAAGTCCCTTTGACACTGCTCCTGTTGAACACAGGCAATTTTGTGCCTCCCCAGGTCTTTTGAATATTCTCAGAAGAATGCAGCCCTGGTCTCTGCGGCTGCCCTGGGGCTTGGAGGGATGCTGCTTTACTGGCTCAGATCTGGACGCAAGATCAAGACTATAGACATGGGTGATGGCTGGTGGGGCGCAGGCGAAAGGCCCCTCAAAGGGAAGGAAGATGCAAGCATCCGTCCCTTCAGGATTGAAACATCTGACAAAGAAATCGAGGTACTGCTGTCTGGGGGATAAGGAGGGGCAGAAAGCTGCAAGGGGGAGGCAGTCCATCACCCACCTCACTGCTTCGAGGTGATGCCTTGGAGGTGACAGCAGGGCACTTCCATTTGCCAGGGCAGTGACCCAGCTCCATTAGATGATGCTCTGACTCACCATTCTTTATGAAAGGGATTTGATCTCCGGTCCATTGCAATGTCCCTTAAAGACTTTCTGAGACAACAGCCCCTCCGTGCAAGCTGGGGCTTTTCATGCAGAAAGGCCATGCTTTGAGCAGCAGACTTTGACAGTGGGTCTGTGGATGCTGAAGCAGGGCAGGAGGGCATTGGGACATCAGTGGCACCAGTAGGGCAGGACTGAGGGGCTTCCAAAGAGGAAAGGGCTGTAAGGCTGAAGAGGGATGGCATCTTGACTGAGTCATAGCTCCTCCCTCCTTGCATGCCTGTCTCTATCTGACCAAGTAGCAACCAGCAGCTCAAGGTGAGATTCATATTCTCCCATCCAGCAGTGCTGCCAAGCTCCCAGCACAAAAACGCTGGAGTTAGCAGCAAGCCAGAAGTAGGAGCCAGTACTCTTGGATGCCCACGGGGAACTTGTAACCTGTAGATGATTGTATTTGCCATATAAACAATTCAGGCGGTCATGTAGAGTATGGCACTTCTTCAGGAGGGCTTGTGGTGTCCCAGACAGCAATACAAAAGGCAGCAGAGCCAGGAGAGCCTGTCTGTGCCTGCCAGGGAACATGCCAGCAGCTGGCCAGCCTGGCAAGAAGGGCTCCCTTCCACAGGATCTGCACCGGCGCCTGGATCAGTTCCGCTTCACACCGCACGTGGAAGGAGCCGCCTTCCACTACGGCTTCAACTCCAGCTACCTGCGGAAGGTGGTGGCCTACTGGAGGAATCAGTTTGACTGGCGCAAGCAAGTGGAAGAGCTGAACAAATACCCCCACTTCCACACCACCATTGAAGGTGAGAGGGCTTCTGTGGCTTGAACAGGTCTCAATCAGAAATGCGCAGCGAGAAGTGGGAGATGTAAGGAGTGACAATATTTGAGTGACAAGTCACTATGCATAACAGCTTAGTGAAATATAACTAGTGGATGCTCTATTATTAATAACCTTATAGGGACTAAGACCATTACACAGTGGCAATAAGATTAGGTCTGCTTCAGGATGGGCTTCATCTGGTTCTGAACCCATGCTAACTAATGATGAGGTGCTCTTCAGTGATTGCCTTGAAGCCACCATTGAAAACTGCGAAGTTTAGCCAGACTGAGGCTGGAATATCCAGCCAACAATATCCCAAACACCCAGTAGTTTAGCCAGGTGAGCTTAGCCAGACTTTGCATAAATGATCTCTACATTAGGTTAGCCAGACTTTACATAAGTGATCTCTAGATTAGACTTATATCATGGTTCTATCTAACATTTTCACGTTTCTCTTTTAGCTACTGGTTTCTCTTTTAAACACTGTATTGTTTTTGCATGTATCTTACCCACATTATGCTATTCATTCAAGTGCAGCTTTACTTATGTACTCTGAGACCAGTTTCTCAGGAAATGGACACTAATCTCCACTGACCCAAATATCTGGCTGGGGTCAATATCTCTCTCTGTATGTAAAAGATGAGACAACAGGTAACTATGCCAGGAATCCCCTTTCAGCCTTCTCACAGTGGGCTGGTTGTGGAAATTCTGCTCCAGATGCTAATTACAGTTTTGCTGCCCTCCTTCTACAGAATGCAGAACAGAAACTGTGATGGTCCCAGAGCTTTAATTTTTCTTTCTTGGATGTGTGGCAGGGATTGATATCCATTTTATCCATGTGAAGCCATCCTACGTTCCTCATGGTCGAGCTGTTCAACCTCTGCTGATGGTCCATGGCTGGCCCGGCTCCTTCTATGAGTTCTACAAGATCATCCCTCTGCTCACAGAGCCAGCCAAGCACAGCCTGAATGAGGGTGATGTAGTGTTTGAGGTCATCTGCCCCTCTATCCCAGGATATGGCTTTTCAGAGGCCCCTCACCAGAGAGGTAAGCAATGAAAAGGCTCTGTTGGAACTGCAGTTTTTGGAGTAAAACCTCAGCCATCCCTGGCAGCCCTGGGCACTGCAGTTTGTGAGTGCAGATGCCTGGCTCTTCACTAAGGCCCATATGGCTGAGGTTCTGTGGAGATTTGCAACACAATGGTAACTGGAATTCAGGTCTGAATTCACTTTCCACTGAATTTCTTTCATCTTGTGTTCACTTTCTTTCCAAGGAGTGAGGCAGAGCAGCACTGGACACTCTCCCTTCCCATAGCTCCACACACACATGCCTCAGTCAGGTCATAATCTTTGGCCAGGGAAGGAACACCAGGACAAACAGGTCTCCTGTGTTTCAATTTACCTACAGAGTTTGACTCCATAGCAACTGCTCGGATATTTCATAAGCTGATGAACAGATTGGGCTTCAAGGAATACTACCTACAGGGAGGAGACTGGGGATCTCGTATTACTACAAACATGGCCCAGATGCTGCCACAGTAAGTAGCAAGGGAAATCAGTGCAGAAAAGCTGCCTCCAATTCCTACCCTACTTTCTGGCTCCCTAATCCTACCTCCTGTTTGCCCAGCTTCTTATCCCCTTCTGCTTTGTTTCTTTCAGGGACAACCCCATCCTGCATATTCAATTGCATTCATATGCTTTGTATTGAATTTTTTATTTTTTAATCATGATGAACCTGAAGGGCTTTGTGTGTTTGATTCAGTCTAGTGTTTATCTCACAACTGCAGTCAGACTTGTTTTCTAGAAAACATGGGGACAGAAAATTGCTTGATTTAACCCTCTGTTCCTCAACTTACTTTTAGATCTGTGAAAGGGCTTCATCTGAATCTTGTTTTCATCGCCAGACAAAGTTTGGGAAAGTTGATTAGTACAGTGCTTGGGGCTTACGTACCATGGCTTGTAGGCTTGAGTAAGGAAGATGCTCGACGTTTCTACCCTTTCATGCAGAAGAACGTATATGACGTCCTGCGAGAGTCTGGATACTTACACATCCAAGCCACCAAACCAGACACTGCAGGTAAAGTGCCTTCTCTGTATCCTTGTGAACATGGTAAGCACTTGTGGTACATTAAAACAAAGTCCAGCCAAATTTGAGAAGCAAGGAGTTCTGGTGAGCTCTGATGACTGAGTACAAGACCTGTGTGGGCAATGAGTTCATGGAGAGGAGAACGGTGTAAAATCAAGTTAAAAGGAATCACTCAAAAACAGATGGAGATTTCAAGTATAAATTTTCAAGGTCTTTTAAATAGCATGCCAGTCGTATTGGGAATGAACCCCTTTCCAAAGAGTCTCTCCAAAGTAAAACAGAGGGTCCTGAAATTGAAGCTTCAAGAAGTAAATGGGGCTGAAAACAAGAAAAATATCAAAAGTGAGGAGGTGCAATGTGAAAGCTGCAGAAAGGTAGACAAAGCTCAAACACCTGAAAAGGCAGAATGCTGATGTCCTGGTGCCAGTGGATAAGGACTATGAGGACAGATATGGCCATTTCACAATGCTTAAAGGAACTCTTTGCATCAGTCCCCACTAGAGAGGATTCTGGGATATTGCTTTATTGAAATTATCCCTCATCAGGAAAGGCAGCAGAGCTGTCTCAGACTGGTGTCAGATTTGGAGACCAGAGAAGAAACAGCCCCCCATCCCAGCAATTCACCAAAGGAGAAGAAGAAGCAGCTCAAACTGGAATGTCAGTGAATGCCTAGACTATTGCTTTAAGTGACCACAAACCCAAAGAAATAAAAGGAGACAAACAATATACCAGGTGGGAGGGAGTTATGGTGGTTGTGGTGTTTCTGGTTGCTTGGGTGTTTTTAATGGCCAAAAAGTGAAGGTATCCACAGAAAAAATGAAGATTAGTATGTCTAGTCTCTGATCAGGAATTGGACAGAATTGTTTAAACAAAGAGAACTGATTTACACAGGATAATATCACAGGGAAAATCATGCTTCAAGAATCAGAGCTCTGGCAGAATCAGCTGTAGATCCACAAATGTAACTTATATAATTTCCAAAAATATTTTGTTGAGACTCCTCCCCTAGTGTTCTTAAGAAATTGAACTGCCTTAAGAAAAGGACTAAAAATAGTTCACATGAGAATCCAAGCACAGGAGTAAATCAGCAAGTTCCAGGGGAGAGAGAGAATCACAAAAATCTGTGCTGACACCTATACCCTTCAACAGGATCCTAACTTCTCTAAAAATAAAAGTTAATAATTAGATGTAAAACTGACAGCTATCCAAGCTTTGGTTTATAAGTGACTGGTTGATAAAACTGGCCAATAAAAACTGATATCAACAAAGTTCAAAGCAGTTTAAGTGGAGGAAGAAAATCACAGTGGGTTCAAGTTTGGCTGCTGCTATATGAGGATCAATGAGTCAAGGGCAGTGCTCTCAAAAAATCATCTGGATGAAAGATTAAGACAATTTTTCAAACTCTAAAATAAAATTAAAAGAAAAAACACAGAATCCACGATATTCATGATATTCTGAATCTGTTGCATTCCTGTTAGCCCTGTTTCATAAATATATTTTAGAATCAGAAGAATACATCCCATCCTAAGCAGGACAGTGCTTCCAAATATTTTATCTGAAATTTCTTTTCAGAGTGTAATCTTTTTACATCTGAATTTTCTCCTTCTGCCACACATCACCAGGAAGCCAACATGACTTCCTTAGCTCTCAGCTTCTTTTATATAGGAATTATCTGAATCTGTAGTGCCCTCAGTTACAGCTGGAATTCCTTTGCAGGGAATTTGTCACAAAGTACTATAAGGGATAGATAAATACAGACTCTTTACTAAATTCTCTAGAAAATTCTGAATACTTAATGAAAGTCCAGTTTAACTTGCACTAAAGTCCTGTAATGCCAGGCAACTGCAACAGCTCTTCTTTTCTCCTCCACAATTAGGTTGTGGACTGAATGACTCTCCAGTAGGGCTTGCTGCATATATCTTGGAGAAATTCTCAACCTGGACAGACAAATCATTTCTGTATAAAGATGATGGAGGTTTGGAAAGGTAAGAAAACAGATGTTATCCCGTGAGAAGTCTCATTAAAAAAATGACTGGTGGGAACTAATACGAAAATACAGGTAAAATACTGGCCCATCAAAGCTGAAATTTAAGAATGAAAGGCTGACATGACAAGCAGTAATTTAAACTTAAAGCAGACTGCCTGCACACTACTGCTTCAGCACCAGGTGGTTTTGCTCTGGACACATAGGTGCCACTTAATTTGCTGCTTGAAAACAGGTGGAGATGATGAGGGACAGCAATTCTTCAGGGCATGAGCCCGGTACAGAGCACTGAGCAACAGTTTCCAGTTAAATTTCTTCCTCTCTCTCTCAACAGCAAATACTCTCTTGATGAGCTTTTGACCAATGTGATGATTTATTGGGTGACATCCTCCATTGTGTCCTCAATGCGATACTACAAGGAAAACTTTTCCAAGGACCCTGATCTAAGTGCTCATAACAGGTAATTATGCAGCAAGTTGCAAGGCAGATTTGCAAATGAGGTTGAAACATTTGCCTGCATCAACAGTCAGATAATTTACAACAGCAAATATAATTAGTTCTGAGAAAAATAAAAGTCCAGATTCTTACTTGCTTTGGATAAATATAGTTAAGGGTTACTTTTCTTTTGAACCTGTAATGCACACAAGATGGCTTGCAGTCAAGACAATGCAAAAGACTTATCAAAGCACCAAGCACAGACTGATGTTCAAAATACAAGTCTATAGACTTATTCACCAAACAAATGTGACTTATAGCTCAGTTCAGTAAAAAAAACCCAGAAGATCATGGGCACAGCTAAGAGAGAAGTTTAAACTGAATTAGGAAGGCTATTGCTTGCTGGAGGATAAGCTAAGAACTACAAGAGTTAAGCACAAACCTGGATCAGCAATTTAATAAGAGAGGAGTACTTGAAACCCAGCACCTCATGACAGCTGGTACATTAAGAAGATTCTAAGAGAGGCTGACCACAAAATGTTGCTGAGCAGACTTCTCCAAGTGATCATCTAAACAAATGGGGGAGTCTTTTTTTTTGTGGACTGAACCATTAGTCTGAGGATTACTCCTCAGAGAGTAATTTGTTATGCATTTGGTACCAAATTCTAAAGCAAACAGGAGCTAGCTCATTTCTTGAAGAGGTGTGGTATCTTGCCATGTGGCATAATACTTCAGCTTTTATAAGTTGAGGTCAAAGATGGGAAACATTTCAAGACCAACATGTATGCAAAGTTGGCTCTACTTTACACCTCTACAGGTATAATCTTAAACTCTAAATAGAAATGAAGCTCTTCTGCAGAGTGCAGACCAAGAGGTACACTGCACAAAGTGGGAAAACTTCTCTAGCTGAATGTGTTACCAGAGACAGACATTTTCATAGACTGCCCCAGCACTTGTTTCATCAATGCAATTAACTCATGTCTTCTAGGGTTGGAGTATATGTTCCCACAGGCATTGCAGCTTTCCCTCAGGAGATTGTACACATACCACGTGTCTGGGCAAAGGATGTCTACAAGAACGTCATCAGTTACTCTTACATGCCACGTGGAGGGCATTTTGCTGCCTTTGAGGAACCAAGGCTCCTGGCACAAGACATCATGCAGTTTGTCCGAAAAGTGGAACAGCTGTGAGCCTCCAGTTGAAATTCATGCATAGAATGGAAGCAAGTTGTTCTACCAATGGCAGAACATTTACACCGGATTTGTTTAATCCCTCGAAATATCACATATAGAAACCAGCATTTTATTTTGATAATAATTACAATACTGATTTTTCTAAATCCAATTCTACATTTACATTAAAAAGAACCCCAAAAAAACATCTTGTGTTCTTTTGTTCCCAGCACCGTATCATTGCTGCATTCATAGTTCAAGTATAACAGAATATGTAAACAGTTTATTGCAGTAACAATTGCACTTATCTGAGGGAGAGACATGAAAGGAACTGGTCAAGGCTTTTGTTTAAAAGCTTCTTGAAACACTTGGGCACCTGCATTCTTAAATATGTGTTACAAGCAGCCTTGGTGGAAGCAAAAGGGTTTTGATCTCCTGAGCATAAACACTCCTGCATTCAAGTTGTATTTTCGTCAAGAGACCTGAGATTTCATATTCAAGTAGGCAGCTGCACATAAGGCAGCTTTCTTCACTCTAAGTTTTTCCCTAGAACAAGCTTAAGAGGCAGCTACTGCATATTGTAAACATATTAGTGGATACTACAGCAGAGAGAGCACTCTCTCTGTTCAAGCTCAAAAACATCAAATTAAGTTCCTACTACTTCTATCATCATTCCATTCCAAAGGTCAAAAAATGCACCAAGTGTAGAGGGTTACTTCAACCTTTATCCTCTTCAGCAAAGGATTTTCACCATCCCACTGTGCATTTTTGACTAGTAACAGCAAGTAGTCTCATGACCAGTAGGCTCACATTTCTCTTCAAATGGGATAGTTATTTGAAGCTGCTGAAAGCTCATTACAGCATACATAACTGCCCAACTGAGGACAGCTCCAGCACATGTCTAGTTCTAACACAGTGCTCTCAGAGCTTCTCTCCCTGTCCTGAAGCAGACACCAGCCCAGAAAAACAGGCTCAAGTTCTGTTTCTAAGTGATACAATCTGACTAAGAACAGGAACTTGGAAAGTAAAGATAGTGCTAAACTTGATCACATTCCCCTGACTTCTACACATTTCAGAAACATTTAAGTCTAAGTTTCTTCCTCAAGTGGGAATAACCTTTCATTATTGGGGCAGCACTCTTTAACTTTCTCTGAAGAGGCTTAGCAAAGAAATTGCTTATAATCTACTTATACTTTTAATATATATAATTATACTTTTAATATAACTGCTTATAATATAGTTTTAATCTTATATCTAACCAATTGCCAGGGCTGTTAGGCAAAGATCAGTAAAAAAAAAAAAAAAAAAAGTTGCTTATCACTACCCTGCCTTCACAGTACCGGTCTCTTTCAATCTCCAGGACAGCACTAACTACAAGATTTTTCAGTTGATAGAAAATTTTTGGAAGTTTTGGAATGTTAAAGAACAGAAAGTGAGTTATGGGGAAGTGTAATTTTATCAAGTAGATGGGCAAGCACTTGGGTACTCAAGAGCGGCCCACACCACAACTGCTGAGGCCAGGTTGCTGGGTGGGGGGCCCCTGGAAGCAGCTCCACGGCAGCCGTGGCAGGCTCCAGCCCTTTGCCGAGAAGCTGCCTTCATCCTCCCATATTCTTTACTAGCTGGAAACAAATACCTCTTCTGCAACAATATTACTTCTGTGTCCCGCTTCAGTTATGCCCTTTGGTTTTCTTGTTATGGGGAGCTTTTTAAGGACTGCAGAAGGTTTTCTTCCCCGACTTATTTTGCGGGAAGCAACTTTACCTAAGATAGCCTATGGGTAACACAGCAAAAGCAGGGTCAGAAAATGGTCATATTAAAACTCAGGAGGAGATTGTATGCATCCAGCATTTACCAGTTCAGCAAGCACACAGCAAGGGAGTTTTATTCCCAACACATTAATTCATTCCATGCCACAGATCAGGTCCCTAAAGAATCTCTGGACCTGTGTGCAACTGTGCTTTAAAATGGATTTGCCTTCAACAACAACTAAGGAAATAAGGAGAATAGATGAGCACAGCAAGCTACAGGAAGGCAGCAGACACCATGAAGAAAAATACATTCAGACAGACATGGTTCAAAAAGACATGGTTACATTTGCTAAAATTAACACCTGAAAAAACCCAGTAATGAATATTCCAACTAAATTTCTACAGAAACAACTCATTCACTAAAGCCTTTGAGGGTCACTGGTGCTTGGAACCAGATATAGTCCTCCCAAGCAGATGCCATGTGCTGTTGAGGTGAGGCACTAACACGGAGGTCTCCATCACAGGACACCTTAACAGTCAGCTTCCTCCCTCGGGTCGGCACTCGGTAGTTGAGCTTGGGCCGGAACCACTCAACACCACAGTCACGGTGTCCCTGGACCAGGACAAGAGTGCCTGTGATAGGGAGAGCCTTAAGTTCACTGAAGACATCAGCAACAAACAGTCGGTGGAAGAGCTGGCGAACACAGGGCGCAGTCTGGAGGCTCTCTTCAGCCGCTCCCTCGCAGAACCCCTCCAAGTTCAGCTCATAAAGCTCCTTGGGGTTCATGACATTGCCTCCAAGTAGGAAAAGAACTCGAGGAACCAGCGTCAGACTAAATATGACTTCCAGGTGTTGGAACAATCCCTCCAGCTCCATCAGCAGCTGCTGGCACTTTCTGCTTGCCAGGCCCAGGGAGAGTGGTTTGTCAGTTCCATCTCCATCCTGGAAAACAAAAACTCAGATTAGTACATTTCATTATGAACATGTATTTGTTATAATATACTCTGCAGAAAGCATGGCCCATCCCGGAGAGTCAAGGAACAAGAGTTCATTTTGAGAGCTACAGGTACCCACCTCATACAGATACACATTTCTCTCCACATCAGGAGATGCAAGAGCAGTGCAAAAATAAAATCCATAGCTAGCCAGTTTGAATCTTAATCACACTACTGATGAATTCCAACAGGAATTAGAAGGCCTTCTTTCAAAGATCAGCATCACGCTGAAATCACATCATAGTATTTTTTTTTTTTTTTGCTTAGAGGTTTTCGTGTAACAAACGAAGCAGTGACACGCTTTGAGCAGAAAGTCGGAAACAATCAAGTAAGAGTAATTTGCCGACACCTTTACCCTGAACTTAATGATGCCTTTGCCTTATTTTTAAAAGAACAGGTAACACTTCGGGATACAGCCACAAGCGCTTTACTTTAAAAGCGGCGACACGTTGCAGCGCGAGTCACCAAACGAGAACGCGAGCTCGCAAGCAAAACTCAAACGCCACAGCCCCTCTAATCCCCCAGCCCAGGGGCCACCTCCGAGCACGGGGATGTCCCCGCGGCCGCCGCCACTCACCTGGGCCGCCCGCCGACAGAAGTAGGAGAGCTGCTCGTAGGGGAGCGGGAGCTGGTTCCGCTGGTGCAGGACGTGCTTCAGGAGCTCGCAGGCGAAGCGGTAGCCGCTGCCTCGGCACACAGCTCTCGAGAACGCCACGGCCACCGCGGGGCTGCCCAGCACCGACCTGTCTTCCTGTGGCTTCATCCTTCCACTGCCAAGATCCAGAGCCGCCAGCACCTGCGAAAAGGAAGCAGAAATGCGCTTCCCCAACGGCCGCCGCGGGTTTAAATGCCGCTGCCGCGGAGCCTCACGGGAGTGGCGCACGGGCCGCGCCGCACGCCCTCCGGCGGTGGAAGAACGCTGCGATTGGTGGGCGGGCGGGGAGGCGGAGTCTCAGTGTAGCCCCGCCCCTCTGCTCCATCTCCAGATCCCGACCCGAGGCCGCCCGGCTGATGCCGTGGCGGGAGCTGCGGCTGCTTCTTGCAGGGCTGTCCGCGGAGTGCCACAGGAAGCGGCTCCACTGTCCTCCGCCCCGCTGCCGGCAGCCTTGGCGGCTCCGGTGTCCTGCCGTGGGGAGGCGGAGGAGGCGGGGAGCGTGCAGGGAGTGCTGTGTTTGGAAACATTGTGCCCGCCACCCCATTGGGTGCCGCCTACAGCACACGGCGGGTGGAGGGCGGGACGGCAGGAGAAGCCGCTCCGAGGCAGCTTTACGGAAACCGCGGCCACCTGTCTTTTGTACACAAACACAAATGTACACTTTTGTACTCAAACACAAATGCCTCCCCCGGGCATGCCGAGGGGAAAGAGAAGGCGCAGTGGCCGTGGAACTGGAGACTAGGAATACATTTAGTGAGGGGATGCGGCTCATAGTTAGAGGATCTTTCGCTGTTCCGGCCGCCCCCCAGGCTGGATGGTAAATGTCTCCTTTGGGGTCGCTCTCTATCGGGCTGCTGCTTCTGCGTAGTCATGAGATACCTCCAATGCCAAAACAGCTTCGAAAGTGCCCCAGTTTCCCGAAGCCAGTCTGACTGATCGTTCGATGTCAATAACCAGGGAACACGGGGCTGTAAACTGCAAAGGGGTAACCCACGGGAGTCCGCAGATCCCGGGGAACGGCGGCATCTCGCGCGTCGTCGGCCGCGGCCGACAGGCGGCGCCCTCTCCATCGGACTCCAACTCCCATCAGCCTCCGCGGATGGAACCCGTACGGGAGCGAGGTGGTCGCGCCGCAGGGCACGCCGGGAGGTGTAGTTTCGAGCGGGAGGCGCGCGGTGCGTTCTCGGCGTTGTAGGCGGGCGGGACTCGCTTTCCCGGGGCGCCGCGCGGCGGTCGGTGACGCCGGGGCCGTAGCCGGGCCGGCGGGGCCGGGCAGGGGAGCGGAGTGGGCTCTGCAGCGGGGCGGCGGGGCCGCGGTGTCCGCCATGGACTCGCGGGTGTCGGAGTTGTTCGGGGGCTGCTGCCGGCCGGCGGGCGGCGGGGCAGGCGGAGCGCTGCGCGGGCGCGGGGGGGCCGCGCCTAGCGGTGGCGGTGGCTCGAAGACGAAGAAGAAGAACGGGCGGAGCCGCGGAGGGAAGGCCAACAATCCCCCGTACCTGCCGCCCGAGGTGAGCTGCGGCGGCCGCCGCGTCCTGTCAGCCTGGGAGGGAGTGGGACCAGGCCCGGGGGCACGGGGCGCCGCCACTGAGGGGCGGGAGGGGCCGGAGGGTCGGTGCCCTCCCCAGAGCGGGTCGGTACCACGGTCGGATCCCGCAGGTTGGGTGGCGGGTCTGGCTGGAGGTGCTGGCACGGGGCGTTCTGGCGTCGGGGGGGCAGCAGCCGGAGGAGGC